ACCCCCACCCCGACCCCTTTGGGCTGATAGTACGTACTTCTTAGCTGTCTTGGGCACTAGATGTCACTATTGTTCCAGTAAGGCACTACTGCATCTTAAGTAAGGAATTGCACCATGTTCCAGTGGTTACCTATTGACTAATAGGTTGTGAGAAATGATAAAAGGGAAGGAGGGGTGGGGGTTGATGGAGAGAACAAAAGAAAGTGACAAAACTTGAGAGCCAGAGATTGACATCAAGCATGGAAAAAGTGTGTTACAAGTGAACTGGTTATATTATGCTTTTAAAACAACTTTTTGGTCCTTGTACAATATATTCACAGGAGTTTCTCATTAAAATCACCTTGAGATAGTGTTTAAAACAGGTTTCTGGGCTTGTGGAGGTCCTCATTCAGTAGGTTTGGAACAGGGGAGGGACTGTTTTTTTATTGAGCCTTAAAATGATTCTGATGTCCTGCACCAGCAGAGTAGGAGTTAGTCGTGCTAACACTGAATGCCATTGATAGTCATAGGACATTCTGCAGAATTTGATTTTACCCCTAGAGAGGGAAAAAAGCAAAAATTTTTTATGTTTTCAGGGAAGCCACATTTTTTTCTGTTGCATTCTCCAAGACCTTTGTCTTCCCCAGCAAGGATGATATTGGCCATGTCTTTGGTAATAGTAGGTTTTCTGGTCATGCTCAGATTTTCATTGAAAATCAGAGAGAACGGTTTGCTTCTCTGTATTATTTTTGAGCTTGATTTGCCATCTTCCTCCTGTTCAACTTCATTTCTTTTGAAATCAGCTGGATTTGACTGGAAGAGTAAAGAGGGGAGGGCATTTTTTTAATGAGTAGGCTGAACATTACATGGCAAAGCTGAAGTGCTAGTGGGTTCTTTCTGCCTTCTGTCTCTGCATTTACCATTGTCCTGCTTCCTTCTTTTTGCTTAGTTTGACCCTTAACCTGTAACTCACAGTAATCTCAACAAGGTTGGAATTTCTCCAGAAAACAAGAAAGAAGTGGAGAAGAAAGTGACTGTGAAACCCATAGAAACCAAGAACAAGTTCTCCCAGGCAAAGCTGTTGGCAGGAGCTGTGAAGCATAAGAGGTCAGCTCGCATTCACACCACTTAAATCTCCCTCTGTGTGCTCTGAAATGCCAGAGTAATGGTATCAGAGCAAAAGGTTACCCAAGCGTAAGTCCTGGTGAAGTTCCATTGATAGCCTAAGCTCTCTCTCTCCTCTACCAGATTTGGTGTCTTCTATAGCCTCTGACCTTTGTCTCTCTGATTGTTCATTTGTATAATAGCTACTCTTCATTGGATGCCTGCCATGTTCCAGGCGTTGTTAAGTGCTTTTCATGTATCTCTTACTCTTCTCAACAAGTCTATGAAGTACAAATTATTATAATCAGAGGAAGAGGCTGAGAATCTCAGAGTTTGAAGACCTTTGTCTGAGGTCACAAGGTAATAGGAGAGATGGAGTTCAGTACTTGAGCATCTGTGTTTCCAGGCAAACAAGGTGGTACGTTCTATGAAAGGATTTGTATAGGGTGTAATGAGAGTAGGGAGGAGGAAACACCTAACTCTTCCTGGAGCAGGTATGTGCTCTCATTTTGGGGAAGTCAGGGAAGGCATTAGAAGGGAGAGGTTGATTAGTTAGGACAGGTTGTCTAGGGCTTTGACAGGCATCCCAGGCAGGGGGAAGAGCTGCTGCAAAGACACCGTGGCCTGTAAGAATATGGCTACTGTGACTGGGTTCCACACCTGGCTTGGGGTTCTGCTTGATAGATGTGGAGTGGCAGCCCTGCCTAGAGATCTTGATAAATTGTTATGCTTGCTCCTCCCTTTCTAAATCTTAAAATGGCACCAAAATGATTAAATCTGGTCATTTCAGTTTGACCAACCCAGGGGCAAAATGATGTTAAGCTTAAGTGCAGTCTATTAGGAAAATCAATATGGTATGTTGGCAACCAGCCACATGTTTTGAAGGGAGTGCATTGATGCAGTTTTGTGGCTTGGCATACCATCCTTCTGCTGATCTTCCTAGGAACATTGTTGACATGTAAAAATATCGTCATGGTATAGCAGCAAAGAGGAGTATCAGTGGCCTGAAAAGGGCCAGTTACCCAAGCCATGAATTATTCCTTTCAAGTTTTTATAAAAGTGTGCTTGCCTGGCTCAGTGTCTTTCAGGATTTGGACTGGGTTAGTTTTACTGGACTATACCAAGAAAGGTCTCTCTAGATGGGCAATTAGCTACTACTCAGCGGTGTCTTGCTGCTAGCAAAATGGGTGTTATAAGTATCTCTCTTAATCCTTAGATCACCTTTATTAGTCATCCTTTATTGTTGTGTTGTGCAGCAAGGTAATAAATTCGTCTCCTGAGGCGGGACTTCCTAATCTACCCAGCCTTGAGTTTATTAGAATCACTTGGGAGTTTGTTAATTCTATGGCTTGCCTCACATGAATTCTGGCTCAGTAAGTTTAGAAGGAGATCCGGGAGTCTATTTTTTAGAGTTCCATGGATGATTCTGTTGCTTGGTGAAAGTCTGATGCCTGGTGTGTGTGGGGGTTATGAAGCATAATAATAAAACAAGCACCTGTGAACCCATCACCCAGCTTAAGACTTAGAGTGTTGTCAAAAATATTGAGTCTGCCTCTTGCTCCTCCCCATCGTCCCCCTGCCTTGCCATCCTCACACTACTTTTCCAAATCAAATTCTTTTGCCTTTTCTTTATTTTAATAGTTTTGGGGTTTTTTGGTTGCCTATATAAGTATTATATTATAGCTTGCTTGTTTTTGAACTTTATAAAAATAATTTCATTATATATATGATCTTCTGTGACTGATTTTTCCCTCAAATTGTTTCTATGATTGAAACAATTTTGTGTGTGTATGTGCATATACAGCTGTAATTCATTCTGAAAGTGAGTTCTGCTGTATAACAGTGCATTATTTGAGATACCAGAATTGTTCATCTCCTGTGAATGAATGTTTGGATTATGGCAAGTGGTGCTGATATGTCAAGGACATGCTATGTTACGTATGTGCATATGTTTCTCTAGAGCTGTGCGTCCAGTATGATAGCCCCTGGCCACCTGTGGCTATCTAAATTTAAACAAATTAAAACTAAGTGAAATTTAAAATCCAATTCCCTAGCCGCACTAGTCAAATTTTAAGTGTTGAATGCTAGTTGCTGCCCTACTGGATATAACAGATACAATGATACAGTGATTTATAAAACAGCATCTCCTTATGATCTTAACTTGCATTTCCCTGTTAACAAATGTAGTTGACATATTTCATATGTTGATTTGCCATTCATGTGCCCTATTGTGTGAAAAAGTTTTGTTCATTCATACTGCCATTTTTCTACTAGGTTATTTGTATTTTTCTTACTGATCTATAGGTTTTTTTTTTTTTAACATAGTCCTCATATTATTTTCCCCCGATTTATAGCTTATCTTTTTACTTTTATTAATTTTAATATTTAATTTTAAGGTGGTCAATTTTTAAAAATTGAGATATAATTGACATGTAACATTATATTAGTTTCAAGTGTGCAAAATGACTTGATATATATATATATATGTACATATATATAAAAAATGAAATGATTTATCACCACAGAAAGTCTAGTTAACATTCATCACCACACATGATGACATATTTTTTTCCTTGTGATGAGAACTTCTAAGATCTACTCTTTTGGCAACTTTCAAATATACAATACGGTATTATTAACTGTAGTCACCATGTTGTATGTTACATTCCCACAACATTTATTTTATAATTGGAAGTTTGTACCTTTTGAAGGTGGTCAATTTTAATGTGGTCAGATATATCAATATTTGCTTGTTGTTAGATCCTTTTATATTCAAGAAATTCCCTCTGCCCCAAGGTTGTAATACAGTTTTTCTTGTAAAGGTTTAAGAATTTTGTCTTTCACATGTTAGTCTTTAATCTATCTGGAATTGACTTTTGTGAAGGCAGGGATCACAATTCAGTTCTTTTCTTCAAATGAAAAGCCAATTTTCTAGCAACATTTACTAACTACTTCTGCCTTACCTCAAAGACCTTCAGTGTCACCTCTGTCTTAAAACAAGTTTCCATACATACGTGAGTTTGTCTGGGGATTCTGTTTTTCTGTTCCTAGGATCTGTTGGACCAGTATCACTCTGTAATTATTGTAGCTTTAAAACAGATCTTGATATCTGCTACGACAAGTACCCTTACATTCTTCTCAGGGATGTCCTATCTATTCTTGGCCACTTCGTTCTTCCATATAAATTTTAGATTTAAAGTTCTTTAACAATCCCTATTGGGATTTTTATTGGAATGTTACTAAATTGCTTGATAAATTTATGGAAAGAACAGATCTTTATGGATTTGACTCTTTCTCTATCCATGGCATATATCTACATTTATTTGTTTCCTTTAATGACATTTAGTAAATTCTTAATAGCTTTTTTTTTTCCAAAAAGGTTGTACATGTCTTTTGTTAGATTTAGTCCTGGGTATTATTTTTGTGTTGTTGCTGATATATAAAAGTGCAGTTGATTTTGGAATATTTATATCCAGTCACCCAACTCTTACTAACTTTAATAATAACTCTTCTTATTAACTTTAATAATTTATCAGTGGGTTCTTTTGTAATTTCTATGTAGAGAGTCACCATCTGTGAATAATGACAGTTTTATTCTCTTCCTTACACCTTTTAATTCCTTTTTCTTATTGCGCTGGCTGGGACTGCCAGTAAAATGTTAGAAAGAAACAATTACTGTGCATATCTTTGTTTTATCTCTAGTGTTAAATAGAATTTTTATAACTTTTCACCACTAAGAATAGTGTTTGTTGTTTTTTTCTTTTCAGATATCCTTTAGCAGGTTAAGGAAGTTCTGTTCCTAGTTTGGTAAGAGATTCTTTTGTAGCCTTGAGTTGTTAAATTTTGTCAGTTTTTTTGTGCTTTTAAATTGATAAAATAAACTTTTATTTTTAACTCTGTTACAGTAAAAAAAAAAGTTTTTTTTTCTAATGTTGCATTCCTGTGATAAACCCAGCTTGTAGTGATGTATTTTCTTTTTTTTTAATTGCTGGATTTGTTTTGCTAGTATTTTGTATAGATTGTTGCATCTATAATCATGAGTGAGACTGGCATGTATTTTTTCCCCCATTTTATCTGATTTTGATATGAGGATTAAACCTAGATTCATTTAGGGAGTATTCCTTCTTTTTCTGTTCTCTGGAGGAGTTTGTATAAGCTGGTAGTGTTCTTTTGTGAAAGTTTGGTAGAACTCTGTGAAATCACTTTGGGCCCTCTTTTTTTTAAATTTGTGATTATAGGACTTTTTATATTTTTCCATGTCTTTTTTGAGTCTTTTTTTTTTCTTACTAATACAGTATTTTTTTGTGTCCCTCTGTAAAACCCTGAGCCAACCACTTTCCCCAGGCTGCCTGGGGAATTACACGAAAAGGAACGTACAGTTCAGACAAGACATAGGAGAAAGAACTATAGGAGTTGGAGATCGCTCCTTCACGAGGGGAAGAGGATGAGAAAGGCCACCATCTGTCAAAAGAGCCTCATGGTCTCCAAGAGGTCAAAGCCCAGAACAGCACAGGAAAAGAGCTGTTGCTTCAGAGAAGGGTTCCTGGCATAACCAATGATGAGAATCCCAAACACACCTCCAGGTCCAGCCCTAGAGGTAGCCACCCCTGCTATGGCAGCCCCAGCTCCAGTGAACTTGGCTGCTCTGTCAGTGTCCTGTGAGAAGGCACTGGCTTAGAAGCTGCAACTAGGAATAAGTGAGGTGATTGGGACATGGGGCTGCCAAGCTGCTGTGGCTCTCATCTGTCAGTGTCTCCGTCTGGTCATTTCAGCATCACTGCAGACAGTGATCAGTCAGCTCAGTAGTGGAGAGGTTCTCCTGATCAAGGAGTGGGTGGAGACAAACTTGGCAAAAGGGTACATTTTCAGGGAATGAGGGGCTGTGGCAGGAGATCTGCTCCCAGAGCTGCAGAGAAGAGGGCTGAGTCAGTTTTATCATATTTTCTGGGAATTTGTCCATTTTGGTTTTTTCTCAAATACATGAGCTAAATTGTTAGTATTCTTTATTTTTCTGATTGCTGTTCTATCTGTAATTGTCCCCTTTATGTCCCAAATACTGATGAATTGTGCTTTTGTTCTTATCTTGACTGTTTTCATGAGAGGGTAGTGTCTGTTTTATTAGTCTTTTCAAAGATCTTTTGGATTTACTTTTCCCTGTTTTTTTCTATTTCATTAATTTTTGCTCTTTAATATCTCCTCCCTCCTTTCCTTAGAATATTCTTTACTTTCTTCAATATTATACTTTAATTATTTTTGTTATAAGTAACTGTCAGATACCAAGCTAATTAATTTTCAGCCCTTCTTTTTAGTTGTAGGCATCTAAAGCTATAGTTTTTCTTCAGCTTTCATTGTATACAATTTTGTATTTCCAACTAAGTTATTTTTTTTTCCTAATTGAAGTACAGTCAATTACAATATGTCAATCTCTGGTATACAGCACAATGTCCCAGTCATGCATATACATACATATATTACCAACTAAATTTTTAAATATCCATTCTGATTTCTTCCTTGATTCATGAATTATAAGCATTTTTACAAACTTCCAAACATATTTAGTTAACTTAAACATTTTCATTTGTTCTAAGATGAGCTTTTTTCTGCCACATGTTAATACCTTACAATCAGTGATGTCTTAGACTCTGTGAAATACAATATATTTGTTTTTGTTATTGATTTCTACCCTAATTGTGTTGTGGTTTGTATATACTGGTTCTTTTGAAATTGCTTTAGACTTGCTTTATGACCTGTTCCTGAGGTTAATTTTTGAGAATGCTCCAAGTGAGCTTCAGGAGACTCTGTTTTGTAATTGTTTGTTTTGGGTTCTGTGTAGGTACAACAAAACGAACTTGTTAATTATATGGTTCAAATCTTGTGTCTTTACAGATTTGTCTACTTGTTCTGTTAGTACTTGAGGGGAGTATTTTGAAATCTCCCACTGTAGTAATGATTTCTTGATTTTCTTCAGAGTTCTGTTGAACATAGTATACTTTTAAGCTCTTTAATTAGAAGCATACATGTTCAGAACTGTTATTTCTTCATAGTGAATTAAACTTTGTTTCATTGTAAACTAACCTCCTTTATCCCGTGTAACACTTTTGATCTTAAAGTCTATTTTCTTAATATTAATATAGGTACCCTAGCCTTCTTTGGGTTAGTATTTGCTGCGGTAATTCTTTCTCCATTCCTTTGCTTCCAAACTTTCTGTTTGTTTATTTTGCTTTTGTTAAGTTTTCAGGTGTGTCTCATAAATAGCTGATTTAAAATTTAGTCTGTTAATCTCTTTATAGATTGAATTTATTAGAATTTTTTAATGTAGTTTCTACTATCATAATGTTATTTGGCTTTTTATTTAAAAGTATTTTTCCTTGTATCTTTTTTATAAAAATTGATTATGGTTTTAAAATATTTTGTTCATTTTATTTTCCATTCTACTAGTTTGGATTTATGTATTCTTCTGTTCTTTTGGTGGCTAACCTTGCACTTTATCAGGAATACTTAGCAAAGCCTAGAGTAAATTACTATCTTACCTCCCTACAAAATTATCCATGGACTCTAGAACTTTTAGCTACAGTCACCTTCTTCCTACTTCACATGCTACTAATGTTCAGTACTTCAGTATGGTCATATTTGACACTGCGAAGTAGATGTTTTTTTGTATAGACAATATTTGTTTAGATTTGTATTTGCCAGATTCTTTGCTCACCGTCCCTTCCATCTGGGGTCATTTCCTTCCTCTTTGAAGTACATGCTTTTTTTTTTTTTTTTTTTTTTTGACCTACCCTAACTTGTTTATTGGCTAAGAATTTTACAGACCTTACTTACATTAGTAGTGATGGTTGAGCTGGGGAGCATTATACCTTCTCCAAGCTGCATGGTTCTTTTTTGTTGTTGTTTGTTTGTTTGTTTGTTTGTTTTTGGTCGGGGAAGTATTTAGGCTTACTTATTTATTTATTTTTAGAAGAGGTACTGGGGATTGAACCCAGGACCGTGTGTATGCTAAGGATGCCCTCTATCACTTGAGCTATACCCTCTCCCAGAAGTATGTGTTTTTAGTGAAGGTCTTCTGGGTGACTTTCAGAATCTTTAGCATGTCACTGAAGGTATTTTCTTCAATCTCTAATAACTACTAAATGTTTGTCATTTATAAACATGTCCAGACATTCTTGAAATCCATCTGTGGTTCTAACCAAGATGAATGATGACAAAGAATCTGATGTTTAGGTGATGCTTGAAGAGATAATGCTTCACCTCCTTGAATTGGTTAACGGTTTAAATTATCTTTATAACAACAATATAACTGGAAGGAGATTAAGAACCTGAAATGAAAATTTTTCATTTCAGATCATCCCAACTCCTTGAGGCTGCCTAAGCCCCATATAAGTGGTTATTGGAACTTCTGATTCCCAAAGCTTTGATCCCCAAGATTGGACATAGCTCAGATCACCATGTTTTTTTGTTTACAGCTCAGAGAGTGGCAACAGTGTGAAAAGACTGAAATCGGACCCTGACCCAGATGACAAGAATCAAGGTGGGTGGCAGCTTTCATTTCGTTCTTTACTTACAATACACATGAAATGTAGTAAAAGGCTGAAATGCATTTTATCTGTGGAGACATGTGCATATCTCTACGCAAACCTACCTAAACTTAACCTACCAAACCATTTTAGACCATGCAGGACTTACACCTAGCAGGGTGTCAGCTGCCCTGCAAAATAGTATGTTAGAAGCCAGTGGAACTGATAAATGACAATTATGCTTTCCCAGGAGTGCTTACAAAGCCAAAGTTCTGGTCATATCACCTCTGCTCACAAAGGGGTTTCTCTGTCTCCCTTAAATGTCAAGTTTCTTGATTTCACCTGGCTGGCTACCAGTGAGATAGAATGCCTGGCTCCTGCTGTTAGCTGATTGGATTGAGCTTAGAAGCTCAATGCAGTTTCCAGGAGTACACTTTCTTTGGTAGTTACTTTTATACGATCAAATCTGGTACTGTATTAAGTGGCACAAAGTTATAAGTGAGGGTGAGTGTTACTGGGGATTGAATCAGGGATGAGAAATTCGAGTGTTTTCAGTTCTTCCATTCCTAACTCCCATTGGGATTGAGACTGTTAAGTTAAACTTAGACGGTCATCTATAAAACAGGGCTTACATTTATTTCTCTTTCAAAAAAAGGATATTTTAAAACATATCTACTGAACTCCAGGAATGGTGGGCTGTTGTTGATACTTTTTTGCTCTAGAATTTACTTTTAAAAAAGACAGTGAAGAGCTTTCTTTCTACCTCTATGTCCTCTTCTATCCCATTCTCCTTCCCAGAGGGAAACAGTTTTATATATTTCTTACATATATGTCTAGAGCTAGTCTGTGTATGTACAAGCAGTTACAAATATATTATTTTTTGGAAAGTGTTTTATTATAGAAAGCTTAAGACATATTCAAGTGTTGAGATAATAACTTGTTTAATGAATGTATAAATGAACCCCATAATGTAGCTTCAACAACTTTTAATACATCCAATCTTGTTTCATTTATGTTGCCCATATTTTGAAGCAAACTCCAGACATCAGATTGTTTCTCCCATAGTTACTCTGTATTTATCCCTAAAAAATGTTTTTTAACATAATTGTAATACCATTATCACACCTAGAATAATTAGAATAATTCCTAAATACTATCAAATACAAAATTAGTATTCATTTTTCCTCAGTTTTCTCATGAATTTTTTTTCCTGACAATTAAAAATCAGGATCAAAGCAAAGATTAGACATTTTATTTGGCTTATATGGCTTAAAAAAATTGGTGATAATTTACATATCATAAAATTCACCCTTTTAAGGGATTCAGCTCAGTGGTTTTTAATATGTTCAGAAGAATGTGTATTTATCACCACTATCTAATTCCAGAACTTTTTCATCACCCCAAAAAGAAGCCCCATGCCCATTAGCAGTTATTCTTCATTCTTCCCCTTTCTGCAGCCACTGGCAACCACAATCTGCTTTCTGTCTCTATGGATTTGCCTTTTCTGAACATTTTATATAAAGGAAATCATGTAATATATGGCCTTTTGTGTCTGGCTTTGTTTCACTTAACACAGTATTTTCAAAGTTCATTCATGTTGTGGCATGCACCAGTACTTTTTACAGCTGAGTAATATTCTGTCATATGATTTGCCACATTTTTGTTTACTCATCAGCTCACGAACATTTAGGTTGTTTTCCTTTTGAGCTATTATGAACCATGCTGCTATGAACATTCACGTTCAAGTTTTTGTGTGAGCAACTGTTTTCAGTTCCTTTGGGTTTAGATATATACCTAGGAATGGAATTGCTGAGTCATATAATAAATCTGTGTTTAACTTTTAAAGGAACTTGTTTTCCACAGCAGCTGCACCGTTATTACATTTTACCAGCAGTAAATGAAGGTTCACATCCTTATCAATACTTGTTGTCTTTCCCATAATGTACATCATTCTGGGTATGAAGTGATCTTCATTATGGTTCTGGTTGGGGTTTCTCTAATGACTAATGATGTTGGCATCACGTACTTATTGGGAATTTGTTTATCTTTTTTGGAGAAATATTATTCAAATCCTGAGCCTTTTTAAAAATTGGATTATTTGACTGTTTATTATTGCATTATAATAGTTCTTTGTATGTCCTGGATACTGGACACTTGTCAGGTGATTTACAAGTATCGTATCTCTGGGTTGTATTTTCACTTTCTTGATGATGTTCACTGGAGCACAAAAGTTTTCAGTTTTGATAACACCCATTTTTTTTTATTTGATTGCTTGAGCTTTAGGTGTCGTATTGCCTAATTAATGGTCAAGAAGATTTACACTTACATTTTTTTCTAAGAGTTTTATAGTTTTAGCTCTTACTTTTTGGTCTTTGACCCATTTTGAACTAATTTTTTTGACTCAAATTTGTTGAAAAGACTGTTCTTTTCCCCACTGAATTGTTATGACATTTTTGTTGAAAATCAGTTGAACAGCATGTGTGGGTTTATTTCTGGATTCTCTTTTCTCTTCCATTGATCTATATGTCTATCCTTATGCTATTACCACACAGTTTTGATCACTATAGCTTTATAGTAAGTTTTGAAACTGGGAAGTGTCAGTCTTCCAAGTTTGTTCTTTTTCAAGATCTTTTTGACTATTTGAGGTCTTTTGCATTTCAGTATGAATTTGGGGATCAACTTGTCACTTTCTACAAAAAAGGCAGCTGGGATTTTGGTAGGAATTGTCTGAATCTGTAGATCAGTTTGGGAATATTGCCATCTTACGGCA